GAAATGGAAATTTTCAAAAAGATACCACTTATGTTATCATAAAACATCTAGTACCTAGGACTAAATCTAAAGGAAGATACAAATGACCATGAGAGAAAACTACGAAACAGCATGAAGAGCAATTAAAACCCTAAGTAAATGGAAAGGGCAACGTGGTCATGGGCTAGAGTCCTTATACGTAGAAGAATTCATGGAATTATTTTGTAGAAACTGAATAGAATGAGGAAAGGTAGAGCAGGGGAATGCTTTTTTTTTAAACCAATCAGAAGAATTTGGCTTTTTAAAACGGTGTACATACATTCCTCTGTTAAAATAGGATAGGTGGGCTCTGTGACCTTTGTGACTGTGTTTGTGGCATTTTTCTTCCAGATTCTTGATTCTATACTGGATATTTGTGGTGCTTCCATGGTACCTCCTGCTTATTCCTATCACAGAACTTAGCATGTGTAATTCTTGCCTGTTCCTGTGTTATTACCCCCACAGGGCTAAGACCTTTTGAAGCAAGCGCTGTATCTTGCTCGATATTGTATCTCCCATATTTATCACTTTCTAGCACGTGGCTGAAACGTGTCCCATTCTCAGTGTGTGAATGAATGAATTGAAATGAGTAAAGTATGTGCGGTAGGCTGAATGCTGCCCCCCAAAGATACCGAGATCCTTCCTAATTGCTGGAACCTGTGTATGTTACCTTATATGGCAAAAGCGACTTTGCAGATGTGGTTAAGTTGAGGATCTTGAGGTGGGGAGATTATGCTGGATTGTCTGGATGGACCTAAATGCAATCATAAGTGTCCGTGTCAGAGGCAGACAGGGAGATTTGACATGAAGAATGTAATGTGACCACTGAAGTAAGCTGGCTTTACAGATATAGGAAGGGGCCCCATGAGGCAAGGAATTCAAGGCATGCAGCTCTAGAAGGTGGAAAAGGCAAGGAAACATTCTCCCGCTGAGCCTCCCAAGGGGGCACAGCCCTGCCAGGAACCTTGATTTTGGCCCAGTGAAACTGACTTTGGACTTCCAACCTCCAGAGCTGTGAGACAATAAATGGGTATTGTTATAAGCTCCTAAGCTTGTGGTAATTTGTTACACCAGCAATAGGAAACTGATATAGTATGCGAGTTCTAATGAGCCTGTATGTTCTCAGTTGTGTAAATATTTCAAGAAACCACATTGTCCCTCTCACTGAGGGCAATGCCTGCTACCTTTCTGGGACCCAAGACCTTTGACACTGTCTTGTCCATTTCCCATCAGGAGATGAGCCACCTCTTGTTTTTATTTTGATGTTTCCGGTTGAGGTTAGATGAGATCGTGACTTTTGAGCAATACCAATTACAGTTCATAATTCAAGAACAATTTATTAAGCACCTACCATGTATTAGGCACTATAGTACTAGGCCATGGGGATATAAATGTTGAAGTAGTTAGCCCCATCTGGAGGTGCGGCGAATATTTCCAGGGGAAAAGATGTTTAGATTGAGGCTCGAATGATAAGTAAGAATGTCAAGTGAAGAAAAGTGAAAGATGTGGCAAGCAGAGGGGGTGGATGCTTGTGAGTTAGGAGATGTATGAGAGAAGAGCCTGGAGAGAGTTTGGGTGGGTATCATTGAGGAATTTAAAGGAGAAGATGGATGGATGGATGGAAGGATGGAAGAATAGACAGATGGATAGACTTTCAGACAGATAAGTGTAGAGACGGAGGCAGTCAGCAAGGACAGCCATGTGCTGATGGTGGAGCTTTGGGAAACACTCATGTTATAAGGAGAGGCCAGAGGAGGAGCCACACAGGAGACCCAGAAGGAAAGACCTAGGAGTTGGGTAGCTCCCCCTGAAAGGACATGTCACAGATGTCTAGGAAGTGGAGGGTCCCAACTCAAAGTGAGTGGCTAGCAGTGCCAAATATGGCAGACAGGTCTGCTAAGAGAAAAGGTGAAAGGTGGTTGTTGGATTTGGCGCCAAGATGCCATGGAGATGTTGAGCAGAGCAGTGGTGTGGAAGAATGTGTGAGGTGGGTGGAAGACTAGCTACTAGCTGAGAAAACAGGAAGATAGTGATTACTTGAGGAATAGAGTTTTACCTCTGCTGGGGTGAGTGAAATGGTCGTGCCTTGTATCTGTACCAAAGACCCATCCATTCGTGCGAACCACTAGCTCTACTCCCACTGGCCTTCTTTTTCCTCTCCGTTTTTTAAAAGTGAAGGTATACTTTGCATAAAGCAGAATTCACCCCTTTTAGTGTCGAGTTCTGAGTTTTGACAAATGGATGTGGCGTGTCACCACCACCACGATCAAGATGCGGGATAGCTCCATCACCCGAGGAAAGTCCCCTGTAGTCGGTGCCTGCCCCTGCCACCACTCCCTGGCCGCCACAGATCCGTTGTTTGTCCCTGGAGCACCTGCCAAGTGTGAGAGCAGCACACAGGTTAAGATTTTTAGTTGTCAGGTGTTAGAATTAATGATTGGGTTCACTTAATCTGGGCTCTCAATTTTACCGTAAAAAGGGGTTTTGTTTCCTTGTTCATTCTTTTTCTCCCTAAACTAATTTGAAGTTCTTTTGATTCATGTCTCAGGGTTCATCAAACGCCTAACAGAGAATTGATTTGAGCTTTTTTGCAAGTAACTTTTTTTTTTAAACATTGGCACCTGCGCTAACAACTGTTGCCAATCTCCTTTCTTTTTTTCCTGCTTTGTCTCCCCACATCCCCCAGTTGTGTGTATATATATATTTTTTAGTTGTGGGTCCTTCCAGTTGTGGCATGTGGGATGCTGCCTCAGCATGGCCTGATGAGCAGTGCCATGTCGGCGCCCAGGATCTGAACCGGAGAAACCCTGGGCCGCTGAAGCCGAGCACGTAAACTTAACTACTTGGCCATGGGGCCAGCCCCTGATGCACTTTCTGCATATTTTTCTTAATGCATCTGGCTTATGATGAGGAACTAACTGAGATAAAACTGAAAGTTCTTGTCAGGACACTTACTAACTGCAAATAAGAAAATTCTAACCTGATTTAGTTTTAAGTTCAAAGATGCATTTTCCACAAAATCTAGTATAATGCCATGGGTCAAATAGTCACTAATGCCAACTTAAAGAAATAATAAAATAATAATGTACCTAGTGGTCTGAAGTAGACAATTAACTTTGAGTCTGTTTTCATTGAATATTTTTGAACTGTTGATTCAAGCCACAAACAACAGCTTCTGGGTCAGCTCTCCTCGATCCCATACCTTTTTTTCAAAGTATGTTTAATTTCACTAATGTTGTTCATGTGTGTAACAGTTTACCTGGCTGTTACCACATAATTTACCCAAGAAACGAGTTACCCATGAAAAACAAAGGCTTGTTTCCTGTTGTGTCTAAGTCCAGGACTAAGTCAATAATTCATCTTTCAGCCTCTAAAATAGTTGACTTGCTGCTTCCCGCTCCAAAGGGAAATAATGCCAGTGTTAATCTCCTTTGGTTGCAGGAAGGAAAGAAGTCAATGATCTTCCGCTTCAGGACCAGCCAGTGTTCGTTAGTGGCTTAGAGTGGCTCTGAGTGGTGCAGGTGCTGCTTTCCTTTGTTGAACTCAGCTTGTTTCCTACTTTCTGAATAACATTTCTTATCCCTTCAAAAATTATTGTAGCAGAAAATGTCCACATAACCCAAAGCCTTTGGAATACCTGTGGTTTTCTTCAAACTTAGAAATATTCGATATATTATGTTTCCTTTTAACTAAAAACTACGAGTCAGGAAAGATTGGCCAGAACCGATAAGGTGACATTCAAAAGGGATAAATGTGGTTTTGCATATAGGGTGAAAAAAATCAATTTTATAAAAAAATCAGTCACCCTGGAGAACTGACCTGGCAATTCATTAAGAAATAAATGACTAACACCTGGGCGATTGCATGTACCACCTGCTCTGCCTGGACACTTGGTGTTATGGGGCTGCCAAAAATAGACAAGCTGCACCAACAGACATTGGGGTAATTGCTCCCTCTGTTTTGTGCGGGTGGGACCACATCTGAGTGTTGTAAGTTTGAGTTCTTTCAGAAGACAACACTTTGATTTCAATGAGGCATGTTGACTTCTTTTAGCAGAGCTCACTCCCAGGAAACCTCATCCCACAGACAAGAGGGATTGCTCACGAAGTAGCGAGCTTTCCATCATTGGCAGAGTTCAGACTAGAATATTTTTCATACATGGGGATTGTTTCTAAACTTGACCCCACTGTGACAGTGCCTGGCACGTAACTATTGAATGTATGAGGAAGTGACTCTCAGGAAGCGTGTCCTTGGGGACTCATGTGCTAGATGGACAGGAGGGCCTCGGAGGTTCATTCCTCCCATGAGCTTGTGTGAATTTAGATCCCTCGGAACTAGTAATTTTATGTGAAAGAAATGATTAGCTGATAACATAGCAAATTGTTATAGTATTAGTAGATATAATTTAACTTCAACAACTTAATGGCCTTTTATGTATTTTCTGTTGTGCCAAATTTTGCTTTAGACTGTCAGGTGCTTAAGTGATGTTGTAATGAAAGGGGTGATCTTTGCCACTCCACTGGTTGCCAAGATTAATCTGGCTTGTCTGAGTGGCTGGTTAGGTCACCTCTAGTGCCTGCATTCAGTCAAAGAAGGTGACCTTCCCAGATGGAGGAAAACTGTTCAGTAATGGTTCTTCAAGTAGCTAGGTTCCTTTTTTGACAGTTGCTAAGAATGACAACATGCTCTTCCCAACGATGCTATTCGTGTAATACCAAAATCATGGCTTTGGGGCAGGCGGGGGGAAGGAGGGCTCTTGGCTGCTCATGAACTAGTAGAAAGAAGAAAGGGAGGAGGAAGTAATAGAAAATGAGATGTAAAAGTACATCTGATGTGGAAACAAGAGATTTTGATCAAACACAGTTGGGAGACTCATGTGTGCAGAGCCGTGTGGTGTGTCTTCAGAGACGTGATATGCAGCTAAAAGATGGCCACTCTGTGCTTTGTTCTTTCTGTGATGCTGCCACTCTCTTCCATTACAGAGCACCAGAACTACTTTGGGATAGATGAAAACCTTGGCCCTGTGGCTGTCAGCATCCGGAGAGAGAAGGTGGAAGATGCCAAGGAGAAAGAAGGGTCTCAGTTCAACTACCGAGTGGCTTTCAGGACGAGTGAGGTAATGTGTCATCATTGTCCCTGGGCTGAAGCCTTTGACATAGTACTACTCTAGGTTGCTTCAGATAAGGTAGCGTGTGTATTTTGTAATGTTAATGATTGCAATATTTAAGATCATTGAAAGGGCCGACAGTATTTTATTCCAAATAAAAAATGTGAAAACCTAGCATGGATGTTAAGTGGTAGTGATTTTACTGCTACCTCACGTGATAGGATAAAATGATAAGAATGCAAGGTTTTGGGGCTAGACTATACAATTTATGTCAAAACTTAAAAATAACTCTAAAATCTAATGCAGAAAATCAGGCAGCCTGCAGTTAGGTGACTGGTTCTTAATGTTTTTGCCAGGGTAATAACTCTGCCTTCCCACACTTCATTACATCAAGGACCTAGGTTAGTTCCTTGCATGTCTTGCTTCAAGTGAAAAGTGAGATTGTTATACAAATGACAGGATGTGTATAGCCCAATACACAGAGATGTTGACTTATATAAAGAATTAGATCTGGCCCGCACTTTAGGTTTTCTTCTCTTGACCCATTTTAATTTGGGGGGAATATATTTGTCAACTGTTCCAGAATGTGTAGTTTGGTTGACTACTTCCAGATCAGACAGAGGAAGGAGAGCCCTTCAGTAGTCATCACGTGCAGTCTGTGTGAGCATGTGCACCGCTGTGCATCTTACCTGGTGCTCAGGTACACCGGTGCTCTGCTAAATGTGGTGCTGGGTAAATATGAGATTAAGTCCCTCTCTTGAAGTGACATGTTTTAAGTTATAGACCCACACTGTCCAATTCAGTAGCCATCAGCCACATGTGGCCATTTAAATTTAAATTAATTAAGTAAAATTAAAAATGTAGTTCCTCAGTCACGTGAGTCACATGTCAGGTGCTCAGTAGCCACATGTGGCTAGTAGGTCCTGTTACTGCACATGGAGGACAATCTCATCATTGCAGAAAGTTCTATTGGGCAGTGGTGTTACAGAGCATCATGCAGACATCAGGCCTGGTTGTTACCACCTTCACCGCAGCTGCTTTGTTATTACGCTAACAACTCCCTTCCCAGAGTCAGAGGGGCAGAATTAGAACCAGGTCTCTCGATTTCCGGTGCTAGGGGTTTCCTCTGTCATCATGTTAGATCTGAGCCATGTGTCAGAATAGTGATGCCATGCTTTCATCACATATTTGAGGACATATCACAAATCCTAAGGCAAAATCAGGTGGTAGTCTTCTCAGCCCTGAATCACCCTGCCCGTGGGTGTCACTGGATATCCCTATTCAGCCTCAGGAATTGTCAGCAATGGAAAGTTAAGTAGAAAAATAGAAGGAAGTGGGAGAAAAGAAGAGATGCAGAGAAATAGGGAAATAGGAAAAAGAAAAGGAAAGGACAGGAGGAAAGTGATTATGGCCAGGCCCAGCCTCATGATCCCAAATTTCTCCATAATGTCCTTCTCAGGTTGCTTTCCAGAGTTGTAGGAATGTCTTTATTTCCTGCGACATTGTTCTGCCTTGCTACTCCTCCTTCTTTAGGCAGGCATCTGATTCTTTCACCCGCTCCTGGCTTGTTCCTGATCCCTGTATACTTTTGTTGTTTAAAGACAATTTGAGGATTGGTTTTGCTTCTTCAGGTTGAGAACTTTAGTCTCTCTTTCCCCACTCAGAAAAGAGTCTTAACTTTCTTCCTCTTTTTATAACTAATAACTGAAGTCTTCTGTTTTGCCCCTGCAGCTTACCACCCTGAGAGGAGCAATTTTGGAAGATGCAATACCCTCTACAGCCAGGCATGGTACCGCACGAGGACTACCTCTCAAAGAAGTTCTGGAATATGTCATTCCAGAGCTGAGCATTCCGTGCCTGAGACAGGCTTTGAACTCACCCAAGGTCTCGGAGCAACTGCTCAAGCTGGATGAACAAGGGGTGTGTATGATGCGTGAGACTTGAAGTTCGTGGGTGACTTTCTGCCTGTATTTCTAAATAGGCTGTTTTTTTCCCCATCCGCCTTTCTTTTAAAATCATTTATTTTTAATGCCTTGAAGCATTTTCCCTCTGGTTTTTCCCAAATCTGCTTCTGTACTACTTAAGAAACGTGATGCCTTTATAGCGTAATTCACCTGCTGCTGAGCTGTACCTCGTATTGTTTTTACCGAGGTTTCAGTACATCCCAGCAGGCAAGAGCACATCTGAGTCATGATTGTTGGAGGCCGTTGATATTTTTTTCCAGGATTTAAAAACTCCTGTTGACCCTTTCCCTGAGCTGACGTTTATTCTTGTCTACTATGTGTTAAGGCATCATGCTAACAGATGGGAGTGAACAGCGTTGGGACGGTTGAAGCTGACTAAGACCTAGTCCCTAGCCCGTGAGGACAGTGAGACCGGGAGCACAGAGGCCTCTGCAAGGCAGAATCTGATCATGGGCCTTGGAGAGGCATCAGTGCAGTGAGTGCTCAGGGAAGATGGGACAAATCCCCCGAAAGAGGTCGTGTTGTAACTGGGCCTTTAGACTTGGGTAGAATTCCAAGAGGGTGATGTAAGCAGTTGCTGTTTTAGAAACTATCACTTCTTCCTTTGCAATAAAAAGGTACACATAGGGAGGTTGGGAGCTTAAAAGGAAACAAAGCGTATTGAGTCTTAGAGCATATAAGACCTTGAATGCTAGCTGAGGAGCATGCGCTTGGTTCAGAAGGCAGTAGGGAGCCATGGAAGCTTTTCCGGTAGGATGTGACATTATCAGAGCTCTATTTTAGGAAGGTTATTCTGGTAGAAGGGAATTGGACAGGTTGTTGAAGATGGAGACTGATGGTCGCCTGGAGCTCAATTATGTGGTTGCTGACATCATCCGGGAGAGAATTAATGATGGACAGGACTGGGATAGTGGCCCATAAGATGGGAAGAAGTCTTTTAAGTTTCATATGCAAGATAACTTGGAGGGGGAACTGAGAGGTAGGTGCCCAAATGTCTGCAACTTATTTTAAATGATTAAATTTCTATTTAAATGAATGCTTAAAAAAGTAAAAGACAGTAGTGATGTATATTTCCAGAATTTCCCAAGGAAAATTGTTTTGCATATTTTTGAGGGAATATAAGTTATTTTTTGGTTGACCCAGTAATTCTCACTGTGGGATATGAGTGGACTATTTGATACTGACATGGCTGGAATTCTCACAAAGTGGTGCAATTGGAATTGGTCTGTCTAACAAGTCAACACTGCATTATTAGTTAAGGGAAGCAGACACTGTAACATTCAGAATGAATAATCCTGAGATCTCTCTGTCTCAGGAATGAAGGCTGACATATTAAAAACAACAACTAAATCAAACCAAAACTCTAGACTTGAGCAATTGACTTCTAAAATTGTGTGATAATGCAGAATGGTTTTACCATGACCTTTAACTGGTGAAGTATGTGGAATGCACAAAATGTCCATGAAACAGTTGAGGAAACCATGTTATCATGGAGGGTTAGAGAGGAGGTGTCTGTGCTGGTTCAGTTCCTCTGAGTTCAAGCAAGCTTGATGAGAGGAGCAGCATTTGTTTTCATGTCGCGGGAGAGTCTGTGAAGAGAACTTGCCACCTGTGTGGTAGTTCTTTGTCCCTTTATGTTTCTAGTATATGTTGGCTCTCCTTTTAAAGTACATCACTGTACTTGCTGCATAGCAGGTGCCTAGTGGACGAGGTATTTGGTCCTCTCTGCTGCTGTAGAAAATTCCATAGATAGCCCATTTTCCCCATGCCTGAATTCTAAAGTCCTCGAGGCCCTGAGAGACATTGTGGCAACTACTGTTGACTTCTCCTCACAAACTGAAGCAGATACTTGGAATGTCTGTGTAGCAGAATAAGTCCAGAAGCTAGACCATAGAACTTTTAAAATTAAGCATTGTAGGTACTTTTATTGAACACCCATTTACTATCTGATGTCAAGGAATTAATTTTGAATATTGGGTTCTGCTTTTAAGAAAACCAATGCATTGTATAGCCCCAGATATATTTCATGCATTTTTACTTTGAGATTATATTTGCTTGACTTTAGTATACTTTCTAATGGTGTACAATATGGCATTTTTAACTTCCCATAACTCCTTTTTTGAGGAAGGTTAGCCCTAAGCTAACATCTACCACCAATCCTCTTCCTTTTTGCTCAGGAAGACTGGCCCTGAGCTAACATCTGTGCCCATCTTCCTCTACTTTATATGGGGGACGCCTGGCACAGTGTGGCTTGATAAGCAGTGCGTAGGGCTGCACCCAGGATCTGAACCGGCGAACCCCGTGCCGCCAAAGCAGAATGTGTGAAGTTAACTGCTGCCCCACCAGGCTCGCCCCCTTCCCGTAATTCTTAGTGGTATCTAATTCCCATATTACATGAAGAAGAGATACTATTTCTTTTCATCTCTGAAAGATATTGGACAGCTTTTTTAACATCCCAGTTTCTAAAGGATGCTTAAACGTCCTCCCTAACCTGTAGGGGTTTGAAAGTTTATTCCAGGTCATGCTGTTTTTACTCTCTGCCCAGAGAGGGGATGGGCCAATTTTGTGTTACTGTTCTTAATCTTGAAAAAATATTTAGAGGATTTATTGTCAGTTTCTGCTTTCTCGGAGTTTGTAGTCCATCCTGGCTTGACACAGTCCCTGAGTATATCTGCTCGGTACAAGACACGTTTTAGTGGGAGACTCAGGAGGTGGCAGTCTTTGAGTCTGGTGAGATGTTTTGAGGAGGAAGACTCCATCCTATGGAGAATTATAAGGAAAGTAATTATTTAGCCACACTTTGAAAGTTTTCTTAATTTATCTATATAAATTCACTTCTTAACCTATAAAATTCCAATTTTCCTTTTTGCAAAACCTATCCTAATTTATGTAAAAGGCAAATGTATAAAATGATATAGATTGACATTTTCAAAAAAACAACTGAGATAAATTATGACAGTTCACTGTCTTAGAATATATGGCATCTTTGGCAGAATGATTAATTTGTTCTTAAGGCCGACGGCCCCCTACTCTTGTCCCCTCACTATTGTCTGTGTTTACTTACACACCAGGTTTGCTTCAAACGAAGTCAGGCAGGTCTGCAGAAAGGAGACTGCTTGCTTAGAACAGGTCGTTTGAGTTGGCAGAAGGCGGTGGAAGGGTTTTCCTGCATGCTGGAATTTATTTTCAAGGCAATTCTGAGGGTTTGTGTTTTGTCACCTTCATTTAAATTTAAATTTTCTTGTCAATAATGACAAGCCTTCTGGCCTGGGGAGTAGAGCAGTCAGTTTTTATGCTGTCTCAGGAAGCACAGGAGATGTGTGCTGGATGGTCTGCCTGTCTATGACGCCTGTTTGTATGTCCAGTTCTCAGCGCTGATGCGCTAGGGAGTTCTGACAAGTGACTTTTTTTAGTTTGCAACAGCACTGATGCTGGTTCCACCCCAGGACCGTGGCACTGGCTGTCATTCACAGCAGAACAGTTAAATAAAGGTCAGTGGAATGGGTGAGTGGTTAGGCTCAGCCTGGTGTTTAGAGGACTTAGGAACAAATCCCTTGTTCTGAGAGAATTGGAAATTTGAGCCCAGGGGGAGCTGGAGTCTCTCCTCTGCCCTGTGTCAGGCTCAGGCTGAAGAGTGTGTTGTAGCTTTCTGATATTCCACAGGAGGCGTGGCTGGTGGTACGTTTCCATTGTTTTCACGAGGTGTGTAAGAGACTCAAGTGAGAGAGATCTCTTCACTGAATGTTTCATTCTGTTACCATTACAGCCTTTGTAGTAAAAAGCCACCTCCTCTCCACTAGCAGACTCATCAAAGAGACAGAGCTGGTGAATGCCTGGGAGTGGTGAACTTGTATAGGGCTGTGCCATACCGTGTGTGTGTGTGTGTGTCCCTAATAAAGTGTTCGTACTGGAGCCAGAGCTCTGGTGGCCGTCATGAGACAGCTGGGGGCTTTGAAATCTATTTTAGCCGCATTCCCTAATTCCCCTGGTCCCGGGGGCTTCTTGGATAGAAACACAAACCTTGTTCATGGTTAGGATCTAGACCCAGGCTGGTTTGTCTGCTGCCTGAGAGGAAAGTGGTGTGAAGTGGACAGCACCGCACTGAGCAAAGAAGTCCCAGGGAATTTCAGTTCTCTTTCCCTGAACAAGAGTCCACAAGGAATATCAAGTCCACAAGACTCAGGAGTCACAGAGAGAAACTGTCCAGTCCAAGGAGGGCCCTGCTTAGCCAGCATGAGGCCACACCAGGCCAAACTCTGGGGCCCCAGACAGCTCCACTCTGGGCTCGTCCCCCAAAGAGGTGGGCGTGAAAAGAGGAAGGAGATTCCTGCTGGAGAGGCCAGGGCAGTCTGGAACAAGCTGCAGATGTGGCCGGGGGCATTGGAGGCAGGATGGCACAAGAGGAAGTGGCCAGATGGTAGGTACCTGGTGGTGCTCTGAGGTGCGAGCAGCGGGCAGAGGAGCAGATGACGGGTAAACAGGGACGGCAGCCCTGTGTGAGCTCCCAGGATAGGATGACAGGATGACAGTCTCCACTGGGTGCAGAGGAAGCAGTGGATGCTGGGCTGCATGGGCATTCAGGCCCGTGGGACGTGGGCCAGGACCAATCATTCCACAGGATTTCCGGTCGACTCTCCTTCTGGTCGGGGCCAAATACCTGTTTGCCAAATGTACTTTAAGATCCTGAAATGTCTTCTGAGTCACTCAGGAGCCGTTAGTGTTTATAATGAAACAATATTAGGTGTTTTTATTATACTGAATTGTTTTTGAAGATGATGGTCCATTTGCAGTCAATGTGGTGTCTCCTTTATTTGGATAGTTGAGTTGATCAGAAACATTTACTCCTCAATCCGTGGATGAAAGGAAAATATATTTTTTCTTGACTCCACCTAAGAAGCAGTTTAATACAATTCAAAATGCCACAGTATAAAAGAGTTTACACACGGCATCTGATGTCCCCGCAGTCAGGGCATCGATCATCGTCTTCACTGTGCCGTCAAGGAGCATGTGGCTGTGACAGGAGCCCCAGCCTGTGCACTGTCCCCCCTCCGTGGGATCCATCAGTGTTGGTAGCTCCTTCAGTCAGACTCTGAGCAGAGGATGTTTCCTTTTACATCCCCCGTAGCACTGAGTCAAGGTCAGATGCACTCAGAGAGCATTGGGATTGAGTGTCTGCTCTCAGTAGATCCGAGCTGCAGTGAGGGGTTTCCTGCTGCCTGCTCAGCTTCCCCGAGCAGGTGGCTCCCCACCTCTCTGGGATTGCATGTTGTCATCAGGTAATTTTGGCTGAGACTGCTTTTATCACTGCGCTCGAGGGAAATGAGTACCATTTTGCCTTATTTTACCGCGATAGTCAGCTGTGAATTTTGATTAAAGGCTCTATTTTACAGCTTGATCATAAATGTGAACAGCGTTATGGATTGATGCCTTTCGGGAATTGGTGATGTCTGATAATCTGTCAGTCTGTGAGGCTCAGATTGCTGGTAGTAAGATTAAGTGCTCTGATTCGTGAGTGAGAAGCAGCTCCTCTTTGGGGAAAATAAGAGAGCTATAAAAATGGATCCCGTTTCTCCTGGCCCAGGGAGAGAGCAGCCCTGAGGCCTCCAGCGTGATGGGGGACTAGCTGTGAGATGGAGTTACGGCAGGAACTCCTCAACAGCTCTTAAAATGCTTTATGGTCTATTGTATATTTAGCAGATATTTCCTTTTCAAGATAGTCAAAAATGGAGGAATGACTGTAACTGTGCAGCCAAAGTTACTTTTATGAAAACAAAACATTATTTATAATATATCACAATTTCCATTGGGATTCTCTCCTTACCAGACCTTAATTTGATTTGTCTTTTCATTACAGTCTTTCATATTTTCACGAATGCTCAAATAACAACAACAAAAAAGGCATTAAGAGCCAGAGAGGGAAAACTTTTAAAAGTTTGTGGCCTTTTTTTCTTTCTGACTCATTACTATGTGGAGGGTATAAGACTATTTCCACAGTTGTGTTTTGTCAGTAGATGCTTGAACCTGTCTGTCCATTTTGAGAACCTGACAAATCCCGCATGGCCATGGCCGTACATTATATTAGGCTTTCTGACATTTTTTCCAGCTGTATTTTGGGGTTTCTGGGTTGATGTATTTGTAGATTTTTCTGCAATGACAGTTGCTCACTCTTTTGCTTATTTGCTGATGGGAATTGTCCTGGCATGCTTGCCTGAGAACAGAATTCAAAGCTTCTGTAGTTTTTATTTTACTGGAAGTTAGCTTGGCTGATACTCTTTGCCAAGTAATTGCATTTCTCCCCCATTTCAGCTGAGCTTTCAGCACAAGATTGGGATCCTTTATTGCAAAGCGGGCCAGAGCACGGAGGAGGAGATGTATAACAATGAGACGGCGGGACCAGCTTTTGAGGAATTCCTTGATCTTCTGGGCCAGAGAGTACGGCTGAAAGGATTCAGTAAATATCGAGCTCAGCTAGACAATAAAAGTAAGCTTCGTATTTGTGTGTGTGCACAAATTTAATTCTCCAAAGGTAGGCATACTGCATAAATCTAAGCAAGCGATCACGTGCCCTCCTGTTTTTGACCCCGGAAGCGGCCTAGCAAGCTTATTTGGAATAGAGTTTAGATTTCCTCAGATAGGCAAAGGAAGCACATTTCTCAAGAGGTGTGTGTTTCACATAAGCTCCAAAGGTCAATTCTTTTTCCTTTGTAACACCAGCAGAGAGATTCCCCACTGTTTCCTGAAGAATCTTTGAATATTTTGTTCTTTCTTTTAGCCTAACCTCTTCTGTTACACCCTTGTTCCATTGTACCAAGGACGAGCTCTGCCTCTGTTTCTAAAAGACAAAATATATTAACACATTCCCTCCTGCCAAGCTCCTGGGCTTATTTCGTTCATTTCCGGTTTTATGATGTTAAGGCAGGTGAAGCACTGATTAGAAGTTAATGCATCCTTTTTTTTTTTTTTTGAGGAAGATTAGCCCTGAGCTAACTACTGCCAATCCTCCTCTTTTTGCTGAGGAAGACTGGCCCTGAGCTAACATCCATGCCCATCTTCCTCTACTTTATACGTGGGATGCCTACCCCAGCATGACGTTTGCCAAGTGGTGCCATGTCCGCACCCGGGATCTGGACCAGCAAACCCCAGGCTGCCAAGAAGCGGAATGTGCGAACTTAACCACTGCACCACCAGGCTGGCCCCTGATGCATCCTATTCTTGAAGGACCTTAGCCAGGTCCCTTTGAGTGGGGCACGTATTAGCTCTAAGGTGCAGATTGACTGGCCGATTTAAAACACAGACTTTACGCCATCGTATGATGTGCGAATTTGTCTCGTGTCTTCGTTTAGATAACCATATTCCTTACGGTCCTCATATATTCTAAATATTTTATCTTTCGTTTTTGCACTGGTATTTCGTTGCTATCAGCACCTAAAATACCAGGCAGAGTAATTTTTGTATTTTGGAAAATTCTGCTTATTATTAAGCAGTTAATTGCCTGCTCTTTTAATGAAAAGAGATGAGCAGGTCAATTCTAAAGTGGGAGGATCTGGGAGACCATGTAGCCCACTCCTAGTAGGAGTGATGAAGTGGGAGCTTTTTCCCTGTGGGAGCATCACCATCTGGCCGAGCCGGGATTGGAACTGATGCAGCCTGAATTCCTGAGACTCCCTGCCCCCAACATCCAGTACCTTGGACCATCACTGATACTCCCTTAGATCAGGGTGGGACCAGGTCTTTCTGAGCCTGTCATCAGTTCTGGCTTTTGATCTGTTTTTGAAAGTTACACTTAAAGGATAGATCACAAGACCCGGAGATGGTGTTAGCTCACATGTGGGCCCCTGTGTGTCCTCCATACATGCCAGTGTTAGCATTTGATTACTATATTGAATGCATATTGCTCATGCCTCAGATATGTAAAGATTAGGAAATCATTCATGACATCCACTGTGAATATCCACGTATTTTAAGAAAAGTCAGTGAGAGTTTTTAGATTTTCTTTGAAAACTCCTCTTACCTGCAAACCACCCCGACCCCCCAGAGCTGCTGGCCTGCTGCCCTCAGGATGCCCTTCCTGGAAAACCGCCCCTGACCTGGACTCCTTACTGTGCATGCCTGTCATCTCTTTTCAGTGGGGTGGATTGAGGAAACATTTTAAGAACTTCTGATCTGTACATTCCATAAAGCTACAACACAGATAATGCAGATGTTTTTCTATGTATAGAATTGACATCGGCTTTGAATTTTTATGACCTTGGAGATGTCCTTGATACATTACAGACGTAGTACTAAGCACCTTAGCTTAAGGAAATGATAACATAAGAACGAGATTTTGACATGTTGATTCTAATAATCAACAAATCTTTATTTTTATGAGCAAGGCATTCTGTGAGATGCAAAGAAATCTAAGACATTCCTTTAATAGAGTGGAGGTTTCTAAGAATTATGTTTCGTGGAATTGTCAAGTAAAAATTATGTCTTTCATGGAACAGACAAAAACAAATCCTCCTTCTTAAATTCAGGAGGATTGTATTCTATCTGGTTTTAACTCTGTCTGCCCATAGGACCTTGGTCACATCTGGGCCTCATTTTCTTCACTGAAAAATTCAGATTGTTGGGCTAGAATATCTGGGGTGTCCCTTCCAGCTTTAAAATGGGTCTTTTCTCTCTTAATACAAAACGAAATGGAGCAGAGCGGATGTCCTGCTGAGATGCTCTGTGAATCAGAGTAGAGCATAGACCCCAGGCCATGGACTGCCTGTCTTGGGTCTGGGTACAGGGAGTGATAAAACTGCCCTACATCTCTTGTCCAACAAAACTATTTGCAGCAAACCCTGGGACAAGCTTGTCAGTTCACCTTCTCCATTACCATACTGATGTTTGAGATGAAATCTTTCAGAATATTTAATTTCAGAAGTTCACCTTTTAGTACTGCGTGGAACAGACAAACTATGATCACAGTTTTAAAAGTGTTTTTTCTCCCCAATGTGCATTTTTGTTTTTACATTGCAAGTTCCTGAATCTGAAACCTGTTGACTAGACTATTGAATATCTGTCAGCATTTCTCTTACTGAATCTTAACTGGCCTAATGACAGAGTGTCCTGATGGGAGTCATTGAACGTGCTGGGTTATTTCATCCTCTGACCTTCAGTATTGTTATCAGTGGGGTAGTTCTTCATTGAAGAGAACAATGTTCATCATTTCCTTATGACTGAGCTTGCTCAATTCCGAAGCCACATTCACTGTTGAGGTCCTGAGCCAAGGCAATTGAAATGGAACATTACTTTCTCAGAAGTCCTATGCAAAATAGCAAATATGCATTTAATGAATAGTTAAAAGAGAAAATGCCTTTATTTTGGGACCAGTTAATATATAGCTGGTTAGGTGAATGTCCTCTCTGACCATCTGCAGGTTGGTTGTCCATATCTACATATAAACATTTTACATACTCCCCTTATTCATGAAATTCCCTTCTATGCGGACCTTTTTAGAGTCTGCAAGACTGGATATGATACCTTTTCTAGAGAATATTCAGAACTATTTTTGAATCAGATGTGAATATTGGAAAGAAAAACATACTGCAGGATTCAGAAAGGAAATAATAAAGGTCCTTCAAGGTTAAATGTTTTAATGTTTTTAAAGTAAAAATTAAAATCTTTAGATTAAAAAAGGTTAACCCAGGAGAGCTACTTAGAGTTTCCCCAACAAACAAAATGAAATAAACTTTGTTTTAAATGATATTGGATGGTCTTTTTTCTTGTTGCTTAAAAGGTAGAAAAATAAACCTATATGTAAGTCCAGGATTGATAAAGGCAGTCCTGAATTCTGTGTATATCCTACTTTCTATTTATCTTTTTTTTTGTTTATTCATATGCAGAGTGGTTCAAAACTCTACCTCCAAATTGTTCTGTAAATGTCGTATGGTCACCGTGTTGGTTTGGGTGTCTGAAACTCTCACTCTGAGGTTATCTGTTGGTAATACAGATGGATTTTGGATTTGCGAAGAATCACTCTGCTTTTCAAAAGATGAATACTGTATGATTAACAGGGTTCAGATGTCGTGGTTCTTAACACGTGTCACTGCATAATATACAGTGAGATCATGTTCGTTCTCCGTAGTCTGAATCATATGACCGTATGGTCACATTGCCTATTGAAAAGAGAAGAAAATTAATTACATCATTCAGGGGAAGAAATCTTTAACATTTTTTGTTCCCATTCCATGTTAAGTCAATCCTGTTTCATTTTGCTGAGTTCTGGATGATTAAGTGCCCAAGAATAACTAAGAATTAACTATAAACACACACCCAGGCACAAGGACAGGGCAAGGATAACTGCTGATTAGCTCATACCCCTCCAGCCATTGCACCTAGACCTGCACCAGGCCGTCCATTCATCTTCCTTCCTCCTCTGCTGGCCTGTACTCCTCATGGCAGGAGCACCTTGCCCACGGTGGGTCCTCTAAAGCAGTATTGCGAAGGCAAGAACGTAGAAGAAAAGAGGGAAGCCACGAGTTCAGTAGAAAGCACGTGGGTGAGAGCAGATACGGAGAAAACAGAACACTCTGACTGCAGATGTGGGTCGGGAAGTGCGGAAACTGTACAGAGAGAGCAGGGTGACCTCCAAGACGCTGGTCATTTATAGTGGGCTGGTTTGTTATTTTCAATTGAATTGCTTTTTGTAATAAGGACCTTCTAAGTGTTAAATTGCTAATTTTGCCGTTGCCTAACTTGTTTTTGTTGTCCATCTTTGTGTTTAGCTGATTCTACGGGAACTCACTCCCTCTACACCACGTACAAAGATTACGAACTCATGTTCCATGTGTCCACCATGCTTCCCCACATGCCCAACAATAGACAGCAGGTACGTCCTCCGCCTCTCTCCTTTGCAGCCAGTGCCACGTCTGACGTCAGCCCACTGATGCTGTTGGTGCAGTGAGAATTTGCAAAGAATCATTGAGTTTTATTCTTGAATGGCATTAATAACCTTTGACTCTTTTCTCGTTTGGAAGTATTTGGGCTTTAAATGGGAGTATTGCACAAGGGTTTTTGTCCTTTTTCCTTATAAAACTCAGAAACTCTTCTATGGTCACCTTTATTGCTTGCTAGGCAAAATCTTAAGGGAAGATGGTATCAAATGTGTTAATTATAAATAAGCCAACTGTGTACCTGAACTCAGGTGTCTACATGTGAGTTGATAACTTATTTATAGAAAATGCTATAAGAAAGGATATTATACCTCATTCATCACATACTTTAATTTTAGGGGTTTGATTATATTTGGGTTAAATAAGGAGTTAAAACAAAGTTTGTTTCCATGCTTAGGAAGCTTAGTTCTCCTGATGTAACTTAACTGCCCTCCTTTGCTCAATAAGTATTTGTCGAATGAATGAAACTTACATGTTGAAAAGAATTTTTTTTCCTGCTCATGAAGTTCAGTGAAGGTAGTCAAAATACGCATTTTTCCAAAAAAGAAGCCACTTGCCCTCTCCATGTCACCAGTTACAAGAACCACCTTAGATCCTACAGCCAGAATGAGGAAGCAGGCTCCTGATGCCCAGCCTGGCTCTTCACATTCAGGGCAGCAGCTCTCTTTTTGTTTTTCTTCTCATAATAAGTTGCCAGCTGGATATTCTTGCCATTTTCTATTTAATACTTAACCTTAATCCTTTGTCCTTCCTGAATTTTCGACAGTGTTTCTAGTAACCACAGTTCTTCAGCAGATCTCTCATATGTGCCCACAGGTCACGTATCTGTATGTTTTTCATGAGATGGAGTTACAATCACTAATCTCATGTATGTATTGATGTATCTTTTAAGCTAAAGGATTTCTAGCTCTTAAAAAATTTATCTGAAATAACGCCAGCTAGATTCAGTAGGTATTAAGAAGCTTGATTTAGACCTGTGCAGTTGTCTGGCAGATACTTGTAAATCAGGCAGTAATTAAACTCCGTTGAGTTGTTGCTCAGAGAACTGATCGGGCTTCTTAGTCAGGCCAAGAAAATCTGTCAGGACGTTGGCAGAGGTAGAGCCAGGGCCTTTTGACCCCAGTCATCAATGTTCACCCCACAAGGCCCTCCAGCTGCCTAATTACTTGACTCGTTGGACTCCAACTGAATTGGCCCTCTCCTTTCTCATATGGCATCCTCTGGAATTTGGAAGTCTGCTTGACTTGACTGCTACCAGAACTCAAAACTGGCTTCCCTCGTTCCCTTTTAGCTGTATGGTAATTAAAACTTGTGGGTTTATGAGTTCTCTGTGCCTGATTTTTTTTTCACTGAAACTATTGTTGAAAAGTCCTACACACAAAAATGTGGATGGAGGGGTGGGGGATGGGGAGTGGGATAGACAGGGTGTTTCAAACTTCCCAAACTGGAGATTAAAAAAAAAATCCCTGTAAATTGAAACTAAACATTACAAATTCTGTAGCCTAAAGAATCAATTTGGTTACCTTTTGGGTTTTTTTTAACTTGAGTGACAACCCATGGCATTAAGTCCCAGCTACTAGCTTTGTGCCCTTGGGCAAAATTTTCTAGCTTTGGTTTTCTTTATCCCTGAAGGCAGGGACTTATATCTCTTTTCCTCACCGAGGTGTCCTTGTGCGCTTAGAACCATACCCAGAATATAGTAAGCGGTCAATAAACATTTTTTGAATGACTTAATGAATGTTTCTTAGATAATAGTTAGAATTAAATGAGTTAATATGTAGAAAGAAAGCACTTAAAATAGTGCCTGGCACAGTGTGTGCTCAGTAAATTTTAGTTGTTACTTTATTTTCTAATTTATTACCCATAGAACAGGAGTATTTTAGATGACTTAACTTGCATTTTATGTTCCTGTTCCCAATCCTAAAGATCTGTTATAGATCTATTATGAAAAGCTAAGACCTGAATAGTTAAGAAAGTAAGGGACTAATTTATCAATAATTTTTTAAAACTATTTTTACTTTGACATTTAATATTTTGCTAATCATGAGTAGTCATCAGAGTATTTTGTTCATAGATAAATGATGCCACTGCAATCTTGGAGCATGTATTTTCCAAATTTTTTATGGGTCGTACTGACTCTTGCCATCTCTCTCACGTACCCCACGCATGCCCACAAATTATGTTGATACCAAGGGCATAAATGTCTGGGATGACCAGCTGAGTTCATGACTGCAGGTTGAGGCCACAGAACTTAGCAAAGTTAGGTGGCCTATACATAAATTGTGCCTATAACCTTGGTCTCATTAGCACCATGGTATTTGTGACTATTTAACTGGTCCAGACTTGTCCACATCAGATCTAATTTCTTGTGTTTGTTCTTGTAATAAATCAAGCTGAAAGCTGATTCCAAGATGTTTTAAAAGTCTTTAGAGAGTTCACCACAGTTGCAAAAGAGTTCAATCTTTGGAATGTCTGACTCTTACAAAGAAAACGTAGCCAGACCCAGGGAATGATAAGAAACCTTGTTCCTGGAGGGTTTTCCGTCTTCAGCGAAGTCCCGGCGGTCTCTTGGGGCCTGTTTGGCAATCAGTGCACTTTTCCCAGGGCTGTCTCCCCACGAGCTTCCCTTCTGATTGTCCTGGGAGCGAATCATAGCTAAGCTATCAGGGGATGTTATCAGTGGACAGAACTCCACAAATTAGCTTCAGACTTCACTTTGGCAGAGAAACCTTTTCTTCAAACTAAGAATAAAACAGATAAAGGGAGCATGTTGCCTGGTACTTAGTAAGCTTTTTTTTTTTTTTTTTAATGCATGCGTAAAGTTAGAGCTGCTCTGCTTGGAAGGGGTATCCAAGCCCCCTGGAGTTAGTGCCCTAAGGAATAAGACCGAGACCCTAGGGTTCTGAGATTCCTTTTAAAGAATGCTGGTCTCGGCCTGCTGACGGGCTTGACATCTGCAGAGGTAACGGAGACACACCGTATTAGATATGAGGCAGGCTGCAACCCCTTCTCCCTGTAATTTAGGTAGATGGTTGACTCTGCCTTAAAGGGTTAGGCTCCTCCCCTGAGTCCCTAACTGGTGCTGCTGAGGAACCATTCAAATACTGGAAGAATCTGCCACAGTAAGTGCTGTTCGAGCAGGTCCTGACTGCGCATGGGTTCACCCATAAGTAATAATATGGAATATTTTGGAAGAATAAACTGTTTACTCAGCTTTCCATGATGAGCTTTATTCCCAGACCCTAAATAGGAGTATATACCTATACCAGATAATAAGAATCATTGCTTAGAATCAGGATTGGTATAGCCCAGTGTCAGAAGAGAAATACTTATATCTTCATAATCCCATTCTTATCCTCCCTTTTTATTAAATCATTAAAAATCCATTTTCTTGGTTTATTTTGGTTTCTCCATTTGCAAAATATTCCCAGTGTTGCTTAACTTGTTTCTACCTTTACTCTTGTTATTGGTCAAAGATTTTATGTACTATTTTATATTAAGTATTTTCTGTAAAATATTAAATATGTAATATTTTCATATTGATTATATACAGTGATAAATCAGCCTTGAATCCTTGAAGCAGTAATTAAACTTGATGTGATCTTCTTGCTGATCTAAGAATGGTCAACTAGCCTTTGCTGCTTTGGTGGAGGGTGGGTGAGCAAGGCTTTCCTTTTTTCAGTATAGAGGTTTTGTATTTATGTGGTAACATGTATAGGTTTCCCTCCCTTTCTTATTATTCAGACTGCTCTTCCATGTTCATTTTTTCCATGTCTCTCCACAGGAAACTCTAGATATCTCTTAAAAATCAAAGCAAAATTCTGATCACTGGTGCACACTCTTGAATATGGAGTGTCTGAGGGGAAGTGTTGTGTGTATTTATGTGTGTGTGCACATGCAAAATTAGGAAGGTCTCTGAAAGAGAAGCTCGCCCTCTGGAAAGAGGAGAAGCTTCCCAAGCAAGGGGTTAGCAGGTGCCAGGTGCCTGCCTGCAGCAGAAACAGGGGGGCTATCTGGAAGTCTAGAAGGAAAGAGGAGTGAGAAGGTCACAGAGGTGGGAAGGATCAGGTCGAAGGAGTCTTTGTCTGCCCTGCTCCTGCTGACAGGACTTGTAGATTCCATCCTAAGGACCGAGATCCAGAACTTGTGATTGTTTTTTTTGATGGGGATACATTTAATTTTTTGCTCAGTGCTGAGCTCATCCCTTTGAATTTCAGAACTTGTAAGATAATCATTAAATGATGCAGTTTTCTCTTTGAAATCTTGCTAATTTTCACATATTTGCTTTTTAAGACAAGAGACTCTCTCTGGAGATCTGCCTTCTCCAGTTTCAAATTAAGCTTGCTTTCCACTGACTCTTGACTCTTAGAAACTTCTGAACCGCATCCCAGCTGCTTGTCTTTCATCCTGTGCAGCCCACTTCCCCTCTCCCCTCCAGAGCTGGGTGCAAAATGCTGTGTTTCTCCCTTGCTAGGTTAAAAAAGAAAGAAGTTAATAAATGAACCTATTTGCATAGAGGCGAGTGGATCTAACCTGTTCACCTTAATGCCACTTTTGATCCCATGTGGCTGCCTGACCGTTGTTTTTGCTCACTTTTGATTATTGCCCTGAGTTCAGCCTGGTCCTGTGAAACTCGGGAGTTTGTTTAAGGAATGCAGAGTGAACCCAAAGGTTGCTATTTCTGCCGTATCTGCAGGCTTTTGGCTTGGAATTGGGTGAAGAAGCACGTTTTCACCTTCCTTGTCACAACAAGAACGTATTCCTGTTTCACAGCTTGAATCAAGTTTGGGAAACTTAGAATCTAAATCTGTCGAATACAGTCTTTATTAACTCACTCCTGTGGTTGAAGACACCGAACTGGCGCTCTTGGCGCTGGGGAAGTATTAGGAGCGTCGCGTGTCCAGAAAGGAGAGGCGGGGCAGGCCCAGGAGATGTGCTCCTTTGCTGCTTGAAACAGCGGCACCAGCGGCTCCCGGGATCCCAGGCCTGCCTCCATGTTTTCCTGATGTACTTGTTCCAGACTCCGGTTATACAGAACTTCACTGACCAGTTAGAAAAAGATGTAACTAACTACTAAAGAAAGCATTTGTCTCTGTTTAAGAAGCCCAAGAAATGACTTAGGTTGCTTAATGTTTGATAGAATCCTGAGAAACTGTGAATAATGTTTCTGTTAACTTTCCAGATGTTTAGTCTCTACGCAATTCAAGCATCCTGTTAATGGACAGGTGTTAAATTTTCTTGTTTTATTCTCCTACAAAGAGCTTTAGATCTTACTCTTAATAAATCCCCTTGCTCCCCTCTATACCTCTCTCCCTGCACACACACTTTTTTTCCTCTACCAAGTGCGTTTTGTCACTGTGGTTAAATTTACCAGACTTTTAAAAACATTTTTGGCCTGTTTTACAAAGCAAGAATGTATGCTTAGAAAGGGACAGAAGCAGTTTGGCATGTTGTCAAGGAAACTGGCTTTAAAGTTTCCTCTAACTTGCGCCTTAAATATTCCTGTGGTGGAGTATAGAATTGGACCCAACGTCTTCCTTCAGGAAGAAGAGAGAATGGATGAGATGAGCTGTCCCATTTGCTGTTGCAGTGGCAGCAGCAGCGAAGCACTGACTAATGAGTCCATCCTGCGCTGTAATCAAGAGGGCTGGCCACTGTGCCATGTCACACAGGATCACTCAGGGAGGAGGAGCTGCAGCCTTCACTCTATGGCCTTGGCCATCGTGAGCTCCATCTTCTGATCATCAATCTGAGAATTCCTGTGTTTCGAGGATATTGAATAAAGTACAGTGCGAGCTGTTGTGTTCCACATTCAACAAATATGTTAAACACAATATTAGATATTTTCGGTATTTTTTTTAACTCTTCATTTGTTCCTGAATTTCCCTTGTCCTGTTACGGTACCTTTGAGTCATGTATTTCAGTTTTTGGAGAAACAAGGGAAGACTATCTTAGCCTAGTAGGATTTCCAACTTGTCTGTTAATGTTTGTTTTGGATACTTATCCTTGCTTCTGTTTTCTTTTCTTTGTATAAAATATTTATTGTGGTTGAAATCTGTGTCCACTATAGTGTGGGCAAATAATAACACAGTGACTATGACCTAGTTTGCTGCTGAACTTTTTTTACCTGCATCTGAAATGGCACACATTGCTTAAATGTCTAGCAAACGTCTTCAAAAGTACAGATAATTCACTGCATCTGTATTAATGTATATTAATATATTTTCAAAACTTCACTCAGGCCCTAAGATGATTTTTGTGTCTTTAGAACTTTGACCATGCAGATTTAAATAGGAATTTTCCAGCGTATGAATCAGCAATTTAACTGGCATGTAGAGAACTCTGAAAGAATGAACATTTCATTCCCACTTTTCCAGGCCTTTTATCATGCTAAATCACAAGTCAGGGGCCTGACAATGAAGTCCTTTTTGTATCTGGGTGTAAAAGGTTTTAAGAGTTGAACTTAATGCTCTGTACAGTGAAGCATGTTCTGTACTTGCCAAATAAATTTAAGAGCAAGTTTGTTGCCTTTGTTACTGCTAGTAAAGAAAGATTTACTACCTGAGATTATCCCCTTCCTGCGATGACATCACCAACTCCTCTAAGGATTATTGTATCTGTTAAAACTGAAGATCACAAACTTTGGGAGCACAGATACTATGGCTTTACTGCATAAACTTACAGAGTGCCTTGTATGTGGGTTTATCGACAGGTATTCAGAGGTGGCCACAGTTTTAATGTGCAGTGTTCTGGGACTGTGATTATATATTTGCATCATTTGTTTATTCATTTAGCAAGCATATATTGGGTGTCTGCTCTGTCTTGGGCAGGCCGTGAGAAACTAGGATATCAGAAGTCCGTAAGACACATCCCCAGCCCTCATGAAGATTATGACCTGATGCAGGAGAAGTAAACCAACAAATAGTGTAGAATACAATAACTGATGCATAGAAATAGGCCTAGGTGTGTGAGTGGAGGACCAAGAATTTCCTTCCAGGTGAGGTGAGGTCTAAGCAGACACCTGAGTTGTCTAGGAGAAACTTGGGGCAAAGGGGGCATTCTTGGCAGGAGGAACATCAGAGGTGAAGGTGTTAATAGTGAAATGTTACTATTCTGAAGTTCCTTCTCTCCTGCCACATTTGTAAATTATGAGATTACATACAATTGGGTTTCCAGTTGTTAATCTGGTAGAGTTCTGTATTTCTGAATTACATTTAAAAGACCATATTTCAGTTAATTAGTTTGAATATATTAGCCACCAAAATAGCAGTCTTCTCTATTTTTGTTACGGAAATGCATGTTACTAGGGGAGTGCAAGACACAAGTTCGGGCCCCCTGGTGCACTGGTGTAGGACTTTAGTAAACCTATATCCTAACTTGGACTCTGTCTCCTCCCTTTAAGTTGAAGAGCTTAAACCATAAAATTCCTTAAAGTGTTTTGAGCTCTAGTGGGCTATTATTTTAGGGTAAAAAAGATAAAGATGAAAAGGAGAGACAGCATAAGTTGAATTTTAAAGTAAAAGAGATGAACTTAAATATTTAGACTTTCCACAGGTCTTTTGGATGTAGCCCATTTTGCTTTTCCTATGCTATATTTAGGAAGACTAGCTTCCAAAGAATGACTCTGCTCTTCTAACTAAGACCTTTGAATTGAAAGATGAGTGAATTGTATATAATTACATATTTTGTGTTCGCAGAAAACCTTGTTTGTAACTTTATGTGTGTTCACTTTCCTGACCACAGCTTCTGAGGAAAAGGCATATAGGAAATGACATCGTGACCATTGTCTTCCAAGAGCCTGGAGCACTTCCTTTCACTCCAAAAAGCATCCGGTCCCACTTTCAACACGTCTTTGTCATAGTCCAAGTGCATAATCCATGTACTGAAAATGTGTGTTATAGGTGAGTCAGCAATTCCTGGTTTTTCATTCTCACAGGTTTATGTCAACAGAACAATTTTTCCCAAAATATCTTTGTTTTCTAGTTCTTATTTCTAACTTCATAATTGTCCTTTTTTTCCTAATTTTATTTCCCACTGTCTTCACTAAGGTACTTTCTGTAAGAAATAATTGCCTTCTTCCCGTTTTGAAAAAGTGAAATGTCTAGCAGTGCAAAAATCATAGATTACACATTTCTTCCATTTTCCCCTTAAAAATTGCATCCAGCCCCTGCTGGAACCATGGCTTAATTGGTACCAGCCTTGGAGGTGGGCGATATGGCTGTCTCAGTTCTTCTCCAGCAGAAGGAATTATTGTGGTGGTAAAACGTTTCCTCCCATCTAAGATCTCAGAAACATTCGCTACCACAGGGCTGCTGAGACAAAAAGTTGACCCTTGCTTTGGTGATTTCAAAAGGCCATCCACAGGGCTCAGAGTCCTGAGACGTTTCTGACCGGGCCTGCTTTTCTTCGTCATCCCTGCCCTCGGATTCTTTCTTAGGAAATAACTGCCAAAGACTATGCCATGGGAGGAATTGGTAAAAGAGTGGGTTTTTGACCTGGGTTAGAATCCAGCTCTGCTGCTCATCGTGGTGCTTTGTACGAGGTATTTAATTTTTCTGAGCCTTCAATTCCCTCTCTTAAAATTGAGAATGATACAGTCATACGTCATTTAATGATGGGGATCCATTATCAGAAATTTGTCATTAAGTGATTTTGTCATTGTGCAAACATCATAGAGTATACTTACACAGACCTAGATGGTATACCCTACTACACACGTAGGCTATGTGGTACGAATCTTATGGGACTGCCATCGTATATGCAGTCCACTGTTGACTGAAATGTCATTATGTGGCGTCTGACATTAATACCTACTTCAATGTGTAGTTAGGAAGAATAAATAGCATAAATTATGCAAAACACCTATTCGAGTTCCTGGCATTCATCAAAGTTTATTTCCCTTTGTCATCTTAAAACCGTGGTTTCCAGTTGAGCTGCCTACTGGGCCTAGGCGGGGTACATGAGTGTGAGTTGTGGGAGAGTGGTGGAACCATGACCACTGTAGAGCTTGGCCTCCTAAAGGCAGAGAAACTAGTTTGTCTGTTAAATGTTGCCGGTTTACATCCCCACCCCACGCCCGACCCATCTTAAAAGAACGCACTGTCTATAAATTGGTAATTCTTAGTCCGAGTTTTATTTTCATAGTCAGCTTGTTAAACATAGCGCCCCACTGTGTAGTATTCTAATGTGGTAGACCTGGAATTGACCAGAGCATCTGCGTGTTTTCCTCCTAGTGATTTTTACGTACATCTGGGCTAAAGACCAGTGGCCTAAATGCTCAGAACTACGTAAAAAAAAAAGGTATTTGAAAAAAGTATATCTATTCTGTATAAATGATATGCTTAATATAGATAATATTGGTGCAGGCATGGTAAATTGGTTTATTCTTCTGAAACCTCCCCTGATGAATGATCATTATGAAAAATAATCTTACAAGAACCTTCCTAATGGGTTGGAAACTTAAGCCTGGGGCTTCATTGTATTTGGTGTTATTTTATCGACTGCTATTTTTAAGTCAATCAAGTATTTTTAAATGCTTTCTATCTTTAGTTTATGCTTAAATCATAAGGTGGTTCACTTGTACACAGAAAAATTTAAAGGTAAATAGTATCTATTTATTTTGGTTTCTTTCAAGTTTTCTGGTTTGAATTAAATGACTGGGGAGGGATGTTTTTGAAACCAGTGTTGCTATAGATCTTATCTGTAGACAAAGTAGATTGTGTTATGTTTTCTATGATGGAAGATAGTATGTGCAAATCATTTGGAGATGGAGTCATTGGTTTTTAAGAAACCACATTGTTATCACTAAATTATCATTTACTAATGAGATTCAAATGGAAAGTCAATAGAGTGCCTCAGATTTTTGGAAGTGCCTCGTAAACATTCATATTGATCATGCTTACAACTTCATGAGTATTCTTCAAAGAATCAATAATAATCTTCTGGAATACTGTAGTCACATCAATTCCATAACATTTTATGAAACTATATGTACTCAGTGACATGGAATAAGGCTGCAATGCCTAAGTTTCCCCAAAACATAGGTGTGTTTCATATGATATTCCTCAAAACATACCAGTGACAAAATAAATTCATTAAAATAATTTCCAAGCAAATGGTGAGATATAGTCTAGGTCTGTTGTTTTCTAAGTTGCTGTGTCTTAATCTACAGATGCATTTTAAAGAAGACTGTATGGATCTCACACAGCTCAGGTGAAGCCCCATGAGTACCATTTCTCTCCTGCGCTTTGTACAGGTGTTAAGTGGCAGTTAGTTCTGGCCGATGAGGACCCATAGTCCCACTTAGTACAGATCATGGTCCAGGCAGCCCGTTGGGTCGAGATGCCTCCTCTAATGAACACTGTGCTGCCCAACAAGTCTAGAAGAGTAGAAGAGCATGCTCCCACCTTACAGAGGTAGTCTGAGGCATCCCCCAGGCGTGCGGCAGGATTCTCAAGAAGTAGTGCTGGGTCCACTTGAATCTGGAGGGGAAGGATGGGGCAACATCCCCAAAGCTCCACGTAATGTAACTTTAGCCTGAAACTTTCAAAAAGCAAACTTAACTAATTGCCTGTTTCTTCATACAAGATTCTTAATGTTAATAGTTGGAGCCATTGCAGAGTTGACTTTGAAGGATTTATGAGTTGGTATACTTCCCGAGATGTATCTCTTAGTAACTGAATAAATAAACTGCTTGCCCTATAGGCTTACTTGCTAACTGCCCATTAAAAGTGAAGAGAGAGCTATAGAAAGTGATGACTTCCATTTTAGGAAATTTAATATATAGCCTCTCTTGACAAAAATTATGTTAAATTGATGATTAAAATGATGATGGATTCTGACAAAAATATTAACAGTTTGGATAAGAATAGCTCTACATGCATTCTTTTGTTTAATCCTCACAGTGGGCTTTTGAGGATGGCCCTATTTTGACCTCCATTTTACCGATGAGGAAACTGAGGCACTGAGGGATGAAGTAACCAGCTCAGAGTGTCTCAGAAAGTGGTGGAGCTGGAATCCCAATGAGGGGCCCGACTCTGGACTCTACTCTTCACCACTTTGCTTTCCGAAAACCCTTTAATTTGCATATTAAGGAAGCTCATCTTTGTATTGTTGCTTTTGGTGGAGGGGTCTTATATCGAAATCATCAATAAATGCTATCAAGTTATTTGGGTAAAATAAGGAGAAGTTTTGAAACACATTCTTTTTTCAACCCATTGGGAAGTTATCTAAATCTGGCAAAAGAATATTCCTTCTGACTCAACTCTGCTTGAAAGAATTAAGGATTCTATAAACTTTTGTAACCAGCGATATCTAATTGATCCCCATCTCCAGAATATCATAGTAATCATGGAATAGCTGTGCCTAAATTGTGCCATTTTAGTGCAACTTTGACTGAGATGCACAGGATTGCAGTTTATAGAGGAGGAACATACTGTGCATTGTAGAGGGGTTGTCCAATTAGTTATTAGGGTCGGTAATTTGGGACAAAAAGAATTGCCCTTGTAAGAGGCCCCTCCCTCTACCCACAATGGAGCGCCACAGTAGGAGCCACCTTGGAACATCTTTAGACATGAAAAGTTTTCCTTGCCACTTCGACTCAAGTGCATACAAGCTGCAGTCAGAGGTAGCTTGAGATCCACGGAGCTAAGTACAAAAAGTAATCCCGCAGGGTGTCAAATGGGACTTGGCCTCCTCAGCATTCTGTGGATAAAATCCTTCCAGGAATCCGTGCTCATTCCTGGAGGAGAAACCCAAATTCAGGAGAGGTGATTACTTGAGTTTGTTATGCCAGGTATCGGGAGGGCAGGTGCCAGTGCAAGAGAGGCTGTTTGAGCTCATTGATCAGTATAGCGGAGAAGCAACAAGGTGTGGTTAGACTCATCACAAGTCTGGACAGGTAACTTTGGGACAGCTCTCCGGGAGTTAACATGTGAGGACAAGTTAATTCCTACTCAGTCTAGAATGTCCTCTAAGGATGGTAGCCAGGGGAGATGGGTCAGGTGTGATGTTGGCCCATAAGCCACTTCAGTCTCCGCTGTGTTTTAGGACCTTCCTTTGAGAACATGAGTCAGGTGCCCCGCATCACCCTCTGGTTTAGTCATAGGCCACCATACGTGAATGAGTGGGGTGTATCTGTCCCACAGGGAAACAGTCCTTCTTCCTTCCCCTTTCGTACCCGCTAAGGCCCCATCCAGACAGTCTGCCATCTTGCTGCTCAGGTCCCCGGAAGTGATTAATTCTCCTGTAAAGGGTGCAGATTAAAGCAAAGGTGAGAGATACCTGGGGACTGTGATCTTTTTAGAGTCTAACCAACCACATTCCAGAAGAGGAATTCATACCTGACAGAACAAATTTGGACAGAATGTTTCCGTTCCTCAATTCACCTCTTTCAGGATTTTCTACAATGATGAAAATGAAGCATAGATTGCCTCCTTTGTTTATCCCAACACAGAAAAAATTATCAACCTGGGTAGATGTGGGGTTAGTACGAATTCTTGGTCTGCAGTAGCTACACAGCAATTAAGGAGTAGATGCTGTAGATGCTGTGGGATTCATTCATTCACTCACTCCAATTCTTCACTCATTAATTCATTAATTCACTCTTTATATTGGGTCTTAATCCAAAAAGAATTTGAGACAACTAAAATTTCTGTCTGTTATAGGGCAGCATTATTGGCGGTGATACATTAAGATGGTTGTTACTACCATATACATTTGATCTTTTCAGTCCCTGGAATCTCTTAAAACTTAACTGTCATAAAACCTTCATTTAGATTTTCAGAATGTGAACAAGTGAGCATTTCCTTAAAAGTGACACTTAAAAATTTTGGCCCTGTGAGCATGATCATTGTGCCCAGTACCAGTGAGATCCCAAGCAGCCAAGTGGGGCTAACCTCACTTCTGTTGGAAGAGTCACTGTCTTTCTCAGTGATGACCAGCGGCAGTTACTGAGTACCAGCCTGGCGCTGTCTGAAACTGTGTGTATCCCGTCCCATGATGGATCCATTGCCCTCTATCTTAGCTCAGCGAGCCATGACAAAGTACCACAGATGGAGTGGTTTAAACAGCAGGCATTTATGTCTCACAGTTCTGGAGCCTAGAGGTCCAAGATCAAGGTATTGTCAGCTTTGGTTTCTTCTGAGGACTCTCTCCTTGGCATGTAGGTCGTGCCTTCTCGCTGTGTCCTCGCATGGTCTTTCCTCTCCACACTTGGGTCCCTGGTGTCTCTCTGTGTGTCCTGATCTGCTTTTATAAGGGGTCCAGTCATATTGGATTAAGACCCACCCTAATGGCTTCATTTTGACTTAATTGTCTCTTTAAAGATCCCATCTCCAAATGGAGTCACATTCTCAGCTACTGGGGTTTAGGACTCAACATACAATTTTTTTAAGGTACGTAACTCAGCCCAGAACACCCTCCCATCTGCTAAGTTTGAAAAGTTTTACTTAAACAAACAATAACTTGGTACCCAGAAATTAGGATAACAAGAAGCTGCAAAATATGGCTTAAGTTGAAAATGTGGGTATATGTCAGATTTCTGAAGATAAATATTGTGCTATCACAGCTCATCTCATTTCTCTTTATTCTTCCTCAGTGTTGGAGTTTCTAGATCAAAAGATGTGCCACCGTTTGGTCCACCAATTCCCAAAGGCGTAACTTTTCCAAAGTCAGCAGTATTTCGGGACTTCCTTTTAGCCAAAGTAATCAATGCAGAAAACGCAGCCCATAAGTCAGAAAAGTTTCGAGCGATGGCCACTCGAACAAGGCAAGAGTACTTGAAAGATCTGGCAGAGAACTTTGTCACAACCGCCACCGTGGATACCTCTGTGAAATTCAGCTTCATTACACTGGGTGCAAAGAAAAAGGAGAAAGTAAAGCCAAGGAAGGACGCCCATCTGTTTAGCGTCGGCGCAATCATGTGGCATGTGATAGCTCGGGACTTTGGCCAGTCTGCTGACATTGAATGTCTTCTTGGGATCTCCAATGAGTTCATAATGTTGATTGAAAAGGATTCCAAGAACGTTGTATTTAACTGTTCCTGCCGGGATGTCATTGGGTGGACCTCTGGATTAATGAGCATCAAAGTGTTTTACGAAAGAGGAGAATGTATCCTTCTGTCCTCCGTGGATAACTGTGCCGAAGACGTAAGGGAAATTGTTCAGCGATTAGGAGTAAGTACAGGGTTTGTATTTCCCACCATCCTTAGGTCTTCAATCCCAGATTCACAGTAGCTTCCACTGGGAAATTCCACCATGATTATGGCACCTAGGGAACGAATTACTATCTCTTATGGCTACAGAGCTTAATTTTAAATGCTGTGTCCCTTTGAGTACTCGCTGAATACAAGAAGGGTGGAGAAGCGCCTGTTAGAAATTAATTAGAAAGGGAAAATTAAGCCAACTTTCTAACATCAGTATATATTTTTATAGTATTTGAAGGAAAAACGGAAGAACTATCTAGATATTATGGCTGTTTGTAGAGACTGACATGACGGTACCGTCCCAGAGGAAATTAATAGGCACAAAATTGCTCTTGACCATATGAGTAAGTCCTCTTTGCAGCTTCAGTTCTTTGCATGTGTATATGGCAGGTATTTTTGTTTACTCTGCTGGGTTAAATATGTTATTAATCTTCTAGCCAGAGTTTCTTGAGGAGGTTTTATAGAATTACCCGTTCAGTTAGACTAAAAAAAAAATCACTCATAAAAGAGATTTTTTTAAAGGTTATCTTTAGGACAAACCCCTAAGTGATGTCCATGATGGGATTATCAGTTGTATTTCTGCTCCTACTTTTAACAAAGGGCATTAGACTTTTTAGTTTGAGTATATACAATAGAGTTATAAGAATAAATCAAATATAATACAAGAACAAAGCATGCCTTGACAAAAGAATTTCTCATGTGTAAATCTTCCTCCAGGGGGATGCATATTTTATTAATTAGAAAAGACTTGGTCAATTATGGATCATGGAAAAAGGACAAGTTATACCCACTTCTTGCACCCTTTCCTCCCACCAAATATCAATCTCCCTTTTTGTTATTTGAGACCATGTCTGAGAGACAATACAATCAAGTCAGTCCTGCTAGCCCTGGAGAAATAATTTCCTTCTTTGCGGACACTGTTTACGGAAAGGAGTCTCGTGTGTTCAGCAGTATCGTTGGGTATATGTGCGAAAGTGTAGATGTGATGTTGGGATGATTAAGTATGTGAGTGGTTTATGTAGCTGGAGATTTGAGTGATCCTTGGGAGTCTCAGGACACATTGTGCTTTCCATAATATTGCAAATACTTCTTTTGGGGAGATCCACTGAGTCATCATAATCTGTGCTCCTGAAAATACAACACAAATAAGTGCCACTTCACCAGTGTCCAGAATGCACACTACGTAGGTATTTACACGTAGGTTCTTGCACATTCGCTGTTCCATGGACCCCTCCTACCGTTTTCCTAGAACAGTGACTGTATTGCTAATGTGACTGAGGTGCCTAATGTCTGGAATATATTTGAGGAGGTGTGTTCTGTCTAGGATGACTTGTAACAGAAGATGCTGGAAATGAACCAACCCAAAGACTATTGAAGGAATAGAGCATAAGGTTAGTACAGAGCAGTATCAACAGAAATGGAAAAAAAGAGGATGATGCAGTCATCATAGAAATACTAGGAATGAGTGCTGTTTAGCAGATGGTACACTCAGTGTGCATCCTATGATGGTGGAAAGTGAAATTAAACGTGTCTGTCATGCAGGTAAAGATACAAGACAGGAATGAACTTACACCCAGAGGGACAGGCAGGGCCAGCTTTATGGGTGTGCAACCTGTGCGTTGCACAGGGACCCACTCTCAGAAGAGCCCAGGCTTGGTTGAAAGATCTCTTATTGCCATCTTGAAATTCTGAATAATTTTTGACCAGGGCCCTACATTTTTATTTTTCACTGGGCCCCATGAATTAGGTAGCCAGTCCTGTGTACGTGGATAGGAGGCCACCATGTCATGTGAGAATTGAATCCATGTAAGTATGTGAGGAGCTCCAAATAAATGGAGAACATGGTCTTCATCCTTTGTGAGTGTTAAGAAGCAAGGAACAGAAGGGATAAAGAAATACGAAAAGCAAAAGTAGAGGAAGTAGCGTGTGGTTGGAGGAAATAAGCACAAGAGACAGAACACGTAGGGGTCTGGAAAAGCCTGGCCGTTCACTGTTTAGTCTGCTGTATGGATGTTCAGTTTCAACTGAAAATCGCATCAAGGTTTGAAAGAAGGCATGTCATAGGTCATCTTTGGTAGCAGAGCTTCCTTGAAAAAGAAGTGAAGGAAAAATTTATTCCGGTTGTACATATCACAAAAGTACTATTTTTAAACAATTTTAAATTAGTTCACTTCATAACTTTAGAAACTTCAGTCTTTCAAAACTTCGCCACTAAGACCAGCAATCCATTCCCCATTTTCCTAAGCCCCAAACTGTCATGTGTGCCTGTGAGACACTGATTGGCAGCGCGAGCACCCGTGGCGGTAACCATGGAAACCTGAGACACAGTGGTGATACACGGAACCAGCCCCAGTCCCTACAGCTGCGCTTACAGTCATAGGTCTTATTAAATAGGATCTGTGTATTCAGAGCGTGTTGCATGGAAACGGAGCATTTATTAAACTGAAACTTCATGCATGAGCTCTGTGGTTTGGCGGATATGGGTATGATACTTCCTGACTTTAAATTTCCCACAAATAAGTGATGCCGTGGTCATCAAAGGATAGTTAATGAGCCCGTGTTTTTCTTTCAATGCATGGAAGCTGTCTCAGTAAGCACTTCTGAGGGTGGTGTTAACTAATTATTGGTGCTTCGGTGCACTGAGTGGGATGCAAACCGCTTTCTTCCTTCATATTCCTTTTTGGGATACTGTGTAGACTCCTGCTCTTGGGGAAGGTAAATGCACTGGAGCTGCTACAGCCTGAGGTTGTCCTTGGCCCTAAGGGGTGGCCCAGTGCCTCCAGGTTTCTGCCGCCTGCAAGAGAGAGCACCATCCTGCATACTGCCCTTGTCAGCAGATGCCAAGGAGCCTGGCTGGCTGGCTCACATTTAATTTAAACAGTCCTCAACACCCAGGCAAGCAAGGGCAGTCACTCCCCAGGAGAGGGGTCCTAAAGGACAGAACAGGATGTCCACAGGGCGGGTACACAGAGAGCACTTAGAGTTTTCCTAACGCTCTGACTTCTGCTGCTGCCCATCCTGGGGGCAGGTCCCTAAGTGTTAGCTTGGAAGGGTTTGCGGCCATTTTTAAGTTGAATGAAATTGTCTCATAGGTTTTAAGGCTTGATGGGCGAAACCTGTACTAGTTTCGAAAGTCTTGACATTTTTTCCCTCACTATAGTCCATCTGGAACAATGGAATTTATATGTTTAAGAGCCAAGTCAGTTGACATGAGAAAGGAGAGGAGGGAATTATGAGAGCCCATCTTAAGCTCACAAGCTCTAGGCCAGTGGCTTCTAAGAAAAAGCAGGACACCTGTATCAGGAATAGGTTTGCTTTTGAAAAATGAAACTGTTGTTTTACTGTTATATTCTTTGTACTGGATGCCACAGTTAATTAGGTGAACTCTGATTGAAATGTGTCCTTGTCACTGGGACTGTTTGAAGGAAGGGCTGTGAGGGCTGAGGGCAGAGGAGCGAGCCCAGAGCCTGTGTGCACCCCTCGGACGTGGGGGCTCCACAGCATTGCCACTAACCGCCTCCTATCCCCTTAGATAGTGACGAGAGGCTGCGAGACTGTGGAAATGACCCTGAGGAGGAACGGGCTGGGCCAGCTTGGCTTCCACGTGAATTTTGAAGGAATCGTTGCAGATGTGGAACCTTTCGGCTTTGCCTGGAAGGCCGGCCTTCGCCAAGGGAGCCGCCTTGTGGAGATCTGCAAAGTGGCCGTGGCCACTCTGACCCACGAACAGATGATCGACCTGCTCCGGACTTCCGTGACCGTGAAGGTGGTCATCATCCAGCCACACGACGACGGCTCGCCCCGGAGGTAAGGCGTGGGGGGCTCCTCAGCAATGCTGGCTCCTCCTTGGCCTCTGTAGCAGGTACTGTCCTAACTGGTCCCTCAGGGTCCTCAGAAAATGTAGTCAGGTGCATCTTCGATAAATTGTAATTTCCAAGCAATTTAATGGGACATTGACCATGTAAAAGCTGAGATATTAGAAACTAAGGAGCAGAGCACCTGCTCGGTTCACTGGACCAGTGAGACTTAACATCTAAGAGGAAATGTTCTTTATCCCAGCTCAGCCTTTAGCAAGTTAAATACTTTCTCTGCACTACTAGAATCCCTTATCCTAATGTGAAGTTATTGGTTATTAACAGGATGTTTAAGAGATCAATACTTGTGTGTCTGAAGGAACGTTGGGACATCAGACATACTCTGTGTGGTGACTACTCCATTCGAGCTGAACTGGTTCAGGGCATCCTCATAAGCTGTCACGGTTTAGGTATGAAAAGAGGTGGCTAGACTTGGAAAGCTCAGAATAGATGGGCGGAGGGAAGGAACAGGAATGGAATTAGAAAAAGATACTGTTCCGTTGTTAATAGAAAATAATCATGTCCAACCTCAAGAAAATATTAGGCCAAAGGGAGAAAAGAATGCTGAGAACCAGCCGTCCATCTGGCTGTGGCCCTGCTTGTGCTGTGGTGTCCGGTGCTCCTATCTAGAGCACATCTCCATCTCAGAAGGAGTCCCTCAGGCTGCCTCAGGAGCTCGGGCTTTGGAGAGACCCAGTGTGCTTGGAATCCAGGCATTAGCTGTGTGATCTTGGGTGATTCACATGCTCTCTAAGCCTCACTGACTGTCTGTAAGATGGGGATTAAACCGTCGCCTCCCTCCTACTGTTTCTCTGAAGATTAAGTATGATGATATACTTAAAGCGCTCAGCACCTTCAGCCATAATCAACGCCCCACACTTTTAATTTAAAAAAAACAAACAAAACTTTAGGATATTCATTTGAATATTTTCATGCTCTAAAAGAAATTCTTATCATTCAGGGATAGCACGATTCCTGCGCCTACTCTCTAGACTTATTTCTGTGATAACTTAGGACATTCTTTTCTACTTTCTCCATCTCCTTTCCTTGACCTCTAAAACCGGCGCTGTCCAGTAGCACTTTCTGCAGTATGTTCTATATCTGTACCATCCAGCATGGTAGCCACAAGCCACGCATGACTCTCACACACTTGAAATGTGGTTAGTGCGAGTGAGGAAGTGAATTTTCATTTTAATTAAGATGTAATTAGCACATGTGGCTGCCATATTGGATAGATAAGCTCAAAACCATGACTTTTTTTTTTTCTTTTTTGAGCAAGATTAGCCCTGAGCTAACATCCACTGCCAATCCTCCTCTTTTAGCTGAGGAAGACTGACCTGGAGCTAACATCCGTGCCCATCTTCTTCTACTTTGTATGTGGGACGCCTGCCACAGCATGGCTTGCCAAGCAGTGCCATGTCCGCACCCAGGATCCAAACCAGCGAACGCTGGGCCGCCGAAGCAGAACATGCGAACTTAACTGTTGCATCACCGGCCGACCCCCCGACACCACCACCGGTGATCTTTTTTTAGAAAAAAAACCAGTGCTATACCACCTTCCTCCCTGGTTAATGTGCACATTTTGTAAAGGTCTTTCTCTAGAAGTTATCTTAACATTTGCTCCCTACCTGACTTTCCATAGCCTTGTTTCCTATATCTGCACAACAGGTTTACAAAATAAAGGTTTAACGAGCTGAAATTCCTCTTGAGAGCACCAGCCACATGTCATGGGAAATATCCAAGATGTTTCTTGTTGCTTTGCCAGACTCTGTCCCCTTCCATCCGTTTGCTCCCCAAGAATCCCATGAATCACACATCATGGTATGAGTACAAAGAAATCAAAAACAAAGACTATTTTATTAAAAATGAGACTTGGAAATAATAGAAGGGAAATCCTTTAGACCTTTGAAGCTAAAATATCGTGTAAGTGAAAGTCTTTTAAAGTAAATTTTAAGCCAGTTACTAGAAGTTTTTCCATATAGTAAAATTTCTTTCTTGCTTTGGTAGAAATATAGATTTGCAGATCTTATGGAGACAATGAGGTCTGTTTATCTGTCTTAGAGGTTGATTACTACTATAGAATTAGAGGAAAATGTTACCACGTTCTCTCTCTGGGTTAAAAAATATTTCTCCGCCTATTTTTAGTTTTGGCCTACTGTTGCTCAGTAAAGCATTTTTAAGCTTTCAAGAGATCTGTTTAATAAAAATGTTAAAGTTATCATTATGTTTGGTATTTAGAACATATGATTTAGAAGAGTAGGATTTCCTAAGAAATATTGAATTGTTTTCCAGCTAAAAGAAATAAACAAACAAAAACTGCCCTTTAAAAGTTCTGGCTGTTATTTATTTTTTTGTCCAAGGACACATAATCTGCTGTGGTCTGCACATAATTAATTCTTTCCTTGTTTTAAATGCAAATTCTCTTATTGAAGCTATTCAAGATATTTAGAGATTTTGCTTTTGTTTCCTCAATTCTCATTAACACCACTCCCTGAAGATACAGATTTTTCTCCTGATTAATCTGGAATAACTGTCTTTTATATTTTAACCTTAACCAGGGTTAGAATTAGCTTTTTGCCTGGTAACTACACTCCAAAATTGGCATGCCTATCACCCACATTTCTGTAAGTCATGAAGGTTTTAAACCTAGAAGGTATCATTCAAAATTCTTTCAATTCAGTCTTCTAATATTCTGTGAATTTGAATTTATAGATTTTTGAATCCGTATTTTTATGAGTTTGGGATTCGTGTTCTGTCTGTGACTGTCTGGGTGCCCTGGTAAAACTACCTGCTGCCTCACGAGAAGTTATCCTTGGAATAAGGGTTCTTCGCTTTCAACTGCAATGCAAGCGTGAAACATTATTTTAAATTTCATCCATGCTCTAAACAAGTGTAGCCTTCTGCATTATTAGATTTTTTAAGAAACTGTAGAGGAGGGCCTGAAGGGGAAATGGGTAGCACCTGACTCATTTTGAAAATTAAAGTACAAACCTTTTAAACAAAACATCGCTTGGTACCCATACGGCTATAGCAAAATACACAGAGATGTGCCTCAAGCTGAAACCACGCATTTGATTTGTGGCGTGGAAAATGACCCCTGTCTTCTTTCACAAAGTGGCTCCTAGTGCTTGTCAGGGAGGGAGCAAAAAGAAAACATTCGTTTAAATGGATGTGTGTGTGAGTGTGTGCATGTGTAATTTTTTTCTTTTAAGTTGTTTTTCATGTAAAAGCCATAAGGACTACAAAAATGGCACAATGAACGAATTGCAAGACATTTCAGTCTTCATAAACATTGTGAATGATGAGTGAAAGATAGTTCAGTTCATTTTTGCCATTTATCAGCGTGATTTTTGTCCTACAGGATATCAGTTAGCAATAATTCTCCTTGGAGCCCATCTGCTCCCGTCAGCAGTGGGAGAGGCCTGTCATTTGATGGACTCACTCCTGGTTTTCCGCAGGTCAGAAGGTGTTTGCTTATGACTCAGAAGCCACTGGATTAAATGAAGTCTTTAACTGGGAGAGTATTTATGTTGAATCAAAAGCACCACTGCCGTTTTGAAGGCCCATTCTCAAGCCTAAGGGTGATGATAATTCAGCTGTCCCTCAGCTTGAAAGGAAGGCAGAGCCCTTTTTCCTTTTCCTTGTAGAGTTCCAGAGAACACCAGGCTGGGAGGGTTTCCTCTGGGAATGCTTATTAACTGATCTGGCGCTGAGATCGGATCCAGGAGTGAATGCATATAGATTGGGGAATGAGTGGCGAGCATTGGTTTGGGAATAGCCCTCTTCAAATGGAAATAAGGTTTTAAAGGGAGCAAGGGTGTTTCCCAAGCAGACAGTCTCAGTGGCAAAGATGAAGAAGAGTTGTGGAAGACGCTTAATTAAGCTCTCCCTTGTTCTGCAAGGGGGGAATCCGGCCCCGGCCCCTAGCCTTCAAAGGTGACTGACATTCTATCAATGTCATTTGAAGGAAAACACATCAACTTAAAAGGGTGATAGAAAGGAAATAACAACTCATCAGAATTATGCATGAGTTGTTATACAATGTGAGTGATTTAGTAAATATGTCCAATAAAAATGGAAATGAAATCCCTTGCTGTGGTGCATCTGTTTTGTGTGATTTTTCATACTTTGTTGACATACTATCCAAGACAAATTTTTCTATATAATGCAAAACAGTGGAAATTATCTCATTTGTCATGAATCTAAATTGTTGTCCTCTCATCATTCTATAAAATTGAAGCTTTATGTTCTTGTCTTCTGTTTGCTTCCTGTTGCCTGACCATTCAACTCCCTGAAGTACACGGAGGAGGATGTGGAAATAGAAATAGGAAGGAAAACTCAATTATGTCAGATTAGCAGTTTATATATAAATTTATATGTATAGATAGTTGGTGAACTGAAATCTGGACTAAAGTGAGGTTTTAGAGTTCCAATTTGTTTGTATGGATAAGAAAAATTAATTATATCTGGTATTGTCCTATGGGCCCTCCAGTAGTGAATTTTAATGTGAACTATGAAAACTGCCCAGTTCCTCCAAAATAATGCTTGGATTATTGCCTCACTCCTTCAAGTAAGAACATTGGATTACAGAACAAATGTAAAATGGGTTGCCTTACGTTTACTCATTCATTCATTCACTCTTAGCCAGCTTGTGCCAGAAACTGTGCCAGGCACTAGGACTATTAAAAGCTTAGGACAGACATGATCTTTACTTTGATGGGCTCCTTTTTGTCCACCTGGCATTCTAAAATACAGTACTTCCCGTTCGTATTTTTGTTATTTAAAAATAGTTTTCTCAAACTATAGCAACAACTTATCACTTGCTGATAAGTATCTCCAGGCAGAAAATGCTTTCACCCTCTCCAGGTAATAATCTGTATTTTAGTGTCCACACCTTTTTGTAGTTTGGAACTTTGTAGGGGCATTGACACCGTGACAGGAATGCAAAGAGTG